TATTATAACCACTTTCTGGTCCAGCCCTGGAGCAATAGACCTCTGCCCATGCATGGGATAGGATCACTCTCCCCATACTCAGGACACTGGGTCCGAAGCCCGCCAGGCTCAGAACAAAGCCATCTCCTGCGGGTGGCTATCCCAGGCATCAGGCCAGCACCACCTCCGTGAACCCTGACACAGGCGAGGGATGAAGGAAACTCCAGACCTATGTGCGGCTCCTAAGGGGCCCCTGCCTGACGACGCCACACTGATCGTGACACCCATCATTGCATTGTCAACCCAACAGCGGGTCCCACACCCCGTGGCTACTATGGAACACAGGCTGCCATAAACTCAGAGAAAGCAGCAATTGCAGGCTGGAATTTGCCTCTGGATGGAGCCTATGGTCCATTTTCCCAGGGGCTATCCAGCTGTGGACACCAACACTCAGGGTTTTGGAGCTTCAACGAGGTCTCCAAGTTGGCAGGAGAGAATCTGCAGGGCCCTCTCAAGAGAAATTGGAAGTCTGGACTGCAAACTTTTATGCCTTTGTTGCGGCAGAGGAGTGAAGAACTATGGTCATACCCGTGTCGGCCACTGGCCCCTCCCTGGGCAGCCAGGGATGAAGCCCCCAGTTCCAGCTTGTACCTATACCAGGTTCCTTGGTACCACTATCCTCATCCGGACTCCAGCAAGCTCCAGCAGAAAGGGCTTTACCGAGCACTGTTTACATTCTTGTCGTTTTTGCCTGTGTTTAGACTTGTGAAAAAAAAAACACATTTCAAACGTTTACAAGCAATCATAGGCCCTTGTGGATTTCACATAAACTCTTCTATAAACCAGTGAACTTCAGAGTCTCTAACCCCACAGGAATCGTAAACCTCAAAGCTGTAGGCCCAAGAAGATTCTCCGCTCCAACATTCTTGTTTCATGGCCAGGAAAACCCAGGCTCAGGAAGGCAGGGCCCTGCCTAGGCACAATGGAGTTGGGTACGGAGCAGATCTGTACCGCGCAACCCGGGAATCCCAACCCAGGTGCAAAACATCGGAGCCCAAGAGCTTTGCCAGCATGTGGTTCTGGGTTCTTAAAGAACTTGATTTGAGGTTTCAAAATATTAATGTGCCTAGGATTTTGGCAGAGGAATGTGTGTTAAGTGGACATGCTTGGCTGGCAGCCATGCCCCAGCGCCAGGCAGGCTGCCTGCCTGATGAGAATGCCCTGGGACTTGGTGTGTGGGGTCCGTTTGCCCCAGGATCACTGGCTTGCAGCGTGGCTCCATGTGAATTCATATTGTCTACAGCAACCGCTCTAATGGGGGATTTCGGACAACCTTGCTTCAGGAGAGTCTGGGCGAACCCAAGAATGAAGATTCCCTGCAGAGCCCCCCCCCCCCCATCTCGGCCCCAGAAGTGCTACAGGAAAAGCTCTACTAAGAGCCAGGAAGGCACCAAACAGACCCTAAGCCCTCTGGGCCAACACCTTCCCCTCTATCACAACAGGCCCAGGCAGGAAATTAAGCAAAGTTCTTTCTGAACTTCTGCGGAGGAATTTCCTGGCTGGTCCTGGAGGCCCATGCTCCATGGAATCGTGTTACAACCCAAGCTCCAGGCCCAGGGGTTCCTGACACAGCACCTGCCCTGCAGAGCACAGAGCACCTTGGAATCCTGCACTGGCTGGCCGGGATGGCAGGCCTCAGGAGCCAGCACAGGGACTTCCCCCCACTCTGCACACGCCCTAGGCTGCTTCCTCTCCAAAGGTGGGAAGCTGCTGGTTGGTAAGCAAGATGATGATCACCCTGGCCCTAACAGCCTTCCCAAACCAAAGGACCGAGGCATCACACCTTCAAGCAGTCAGACAACTTCCCTGCGCCCTGGCTCCTGGTCTGTGTCAAGACTTCAGGATCTCACAGATGAACAGAAGTCTAAGAGAAGTCAGTCCATAATAACAGCTACATGGTGGGATACTAGCAGAAAGACCAGTAAAATCCACATAAAATCTAGTCAATACAACGTACCAACACTGATTTCTCAATCGCTCTGTCTCTCCCTAGCCTCCCTCTCTGTCCCTCTCCCTGTCTCTCTCTATGTAGCCCAGGCTGCCCTGTTATTGAGACAGTGCCTTCTCAGTAAGAAATTAATAAAGGGAAAATTCTTTACTGGGGTAGGGGGATGTGCATGGCTGACTGGGGCTAATGTCCAAGGAAAAGCCAGCCTTGAGTAGATGTTACTAACATTTGCACACCCGAGGCTTCTGATTTTACACACACACATTTTACATACTTCCTTTCAGGTTGCTGCCCCAGGATCCACTTCAAACAATTTACACAAAGGCAAGGGGCTGTAAGTCTGGGCCATGTGGGCAGATGGGAAACTTACACAGCAAAGGTACCACCTGAATTATTTTAAGTACACCAGTGCTTGTCTTTTTGAGTAGTTTTTACCCAGGTTTATTTTGCCCACCTGGCAGAATTATGCTTTTCCTAACAAAAGCACAAGGGACTAATGGCAGACCAGGACTTAAGGGCTGTAACCCTGCACCACCCTCTTGAGCTGCGCAGGGAGGCAGGTTTTGGGGAATGGGTCTAACGACTAGTAAGCTCTGGTGAACAAAAACTTACATTCCAGCACTGTAAATACTCCCTAACAGGCCTGGCTAGCACTCATCTCTGGGTATTTAGGAGGCAGCACTCCCTTAGCCAACTTCCAGTTTATGTGTTTAATGTCCTCTAAGCAAATTTCTTAGTAAATCCCTTGTCATATATTCTAGTACTTTCTTTTACATCAGCCCGTATTCCCAATCCTTCAGCCTCAGTTTCCCAAGTATCGGGATTACAAGTCTGTACCAGATGTGCATGTGGGTGTGGGCACACAGGAACCACAGATGTGTGTGGAGGCCAGAAGGCAACTTCCAGGGACCGGTTCTCTCCTACTGTGGGATCCTGAAATCAAACTCAGGTTCTCAGAGTTGTGCAGCAAGCATTTAGACCTGCTGAGCCATTTTGCTGGCCCCATGCCTGGCTTTCTTAAGTCTTTTTAAGTTGTAGAATGTCCTTCCCAAAGTCATTTATTCCCAGAGTTTTGTGAGGCATTGCTGACGAATAAAAATTGTATTTAAGATGTCCAAAGTGATATTATTGATATAGTCTATGAAATTATTGTCACATCAACCAAGTCATCACCTCACAGTTACCACAGGTACGTGTATGTGCATATGTGTTCGTGTGTGTATGTATATATGTGTATGTGTATGATGTATTGTATATGTGTCTGTGTATGAGTGTATATGTGTATGTGATATAGGCATGTGTTACATGTGTATGTGTATATTGTACATATGTATGCTGTATGACATGTTGTGTGAGCATAGTGTATAATTGTGTGTATATGTGTTGTGTGCATCTGTGTATACGCATATATATTATGTATATGTATTTATGTGTATCTGTGTATGCATTGTGAGCATATGTACACATATTTGTGCATATGTGTTTCATGCATATGTATATATGTGTGTATATACATGTGCTGTGTATGTGTATATATGTTTGTACATATGTACATATTTGCATGTGTGTATAAGCATAAATGTTGTATGCATGTGTTTGACAGAGATAAGACTATTTAAGATCTACTTACCCATCACGTTCCAAGCATGTACTATAGAGCTGCAAGTTTTCCAGAGTCGATTCACCCCGTGCAACTGGAACTCACTCACCAACACTTCCCATTCCTCCCATCCCCCAGCTGCAGGCAACAACCATTCTACTCTCTGCTTCCTCTTAAAGATCCTGCACAGAGGTGAGGTCCCATGGAATTTGTCTTCTGTGCCTGGCTTGTGTCACTGAGCTCACCCGTGCCGCGGCACTTCAGGGTTTCCCCCCTCCTGAAGACTGAGGGACCGTCCCTGTGTATTCACCACGCTTCTGAGTCTATGTGTGAGTACACATTAGAGCTGTTCCTATATCCTGACTGCTGTCAACAGAGGAGTGCACATCTCTCCCCCGGATTGAGGTGTCATTTCAGGACATGTAGCTGTGGAGTGTGTTACCGCTAGGAGGAACTGGGTACAGGACAGATGGGGACTCTGTGCCGTTCCCTTGCAGCTCCAGGCCCATCTACGGTGATTCCACCATAGAACACCGGTGGGAAAAGCAGCTTCCAGTTGTGCAGGCTTCCCTGCCAACCGCTGGACTGAGTACTTACACACCAGGATGTAAAGGAACTCTCCTCCAAACAGGACAGGGACTACAATTAGCAGCTCCATTTTACAGCCAAGAAAACTGAAGCCACCGTTACAGATATCCAAAGTTCAGGCAGGCGGCAGACACCAGATCATCAGTCATCAGAGGAGGCAGCTGCCTGGACACCCCAGTGCACGGAGGGTCTCCTAGTGCAGCTAACGGAGTGGGGATCCAGTCAATTTGTCCCGAGGCCCCGAAACACAAACCTGGCTGGGCACTTCCTCCACGTGCACTGTGCTGGAGAACACAGCCACCGCCCTTCCCTACAGCCACCGCAGATCCTTGGTGGGATTAAATTTCCTCTCATTCCCACCTCAAGGGCCACAGAAGACCATCCTCAGAGGCTCACCAAGAAGGATTCTCTCCCACCCTCTGTTCATAAGCTCGTTTTTTTTTAATCAAGACTCACAAAGTCGGGCAGTGGTGGTGCACGCCTTTAATCCCAGAACTCGGGAGGCAGAGGCAGGCGGATCTCCGTGAGTTCAAGGCCGGGCTGGACCGACAGCCTCCAAAACAATACAGAGAAACTCTGTCTTGTAAAACAAAACAAAACAAAAGACTCACAAACCTCCCTAACACCGTGTCTTCCCCATGCATGAGGAGGCAGGGCCCCCACGCGTGCGCACAGCCTGTCACATCCACCAGGACAAATCCCTCCACTCTCCTGCAGACCCTCCTGGCCTGACCTTCCAGCCTGGAGACCTGTCTGGGATCTAGAAGAAAAGGGGGATCCCTTCTCACTCCCCCCGCAACCTCGTTCAAGCACAGGGACGGAGAATAGTTTGAGTCTTCTCTTTTTAATGTCTTTGCTCTATGAAGGTCTATGGCTGCTGCTGCCCAGGATGAACTGATGAGGAACAGACCCACCTGTGGCACAGAGGAAGAAAAGAACCCACGTGTGGCTCGGCAGTCTCTGCTCCCACCCATCACTGCCACGGAAGGCCAGGCTGCCTTCCCTTCCGTGAACTCTTGGCTGAGAGAAATTGTGAAGGACTAGGCGAAGGTCAGAGAACACGTCATGACAATGCAGGGTAAGTACGAACTCACATGTCACACAGACTACACACCTCAGGCTTTTTTCTCAATGGTTGATGTATCTATAATTAGAAAAAAAATCTTTTCCTCACTTCACAGGCCCACCCGCAGGTTTTAGCCACTTCCTAGCGTCCAGCAAACATGGCCACAGCTGAGGTGCTCCAGGGTATTTTCGTGCTCAGTGAATAATTATGTGAACAAAATAACACAATGCGGTTGCCAACAGCTATTAAACCCGTGAAAAATGACAACAGAAAGCTCAGTTGACTGGTTATCGGGGGCCTCAGAGAAAGGAGGAAGGCAGCTGTGGCTTCACCTCTGTAAACTCCAAATGCAACCAAAAGAAGCAAACAACCGAAGGAGAACTAGCCTGGGAGTCCTGACTCGGGGAGATGCGGTCACGACTCCCGCTGCCCGTTGATCACGGATGGAAGCTGGCTTCATTGCTGGTGTGTGCCTGGACAGAGAGCGAAGGCACCCTGAAGAGCTTCACTCTGCTGCTGTAGGACGGAAACGGTTGGGGGATGATCAAGCAGGCACACCTCCCCGTCTCCGATGCAGACGTTCTCCTTGAAGTCCTAGCCTGAGAGTCAGGAATGATGGCCACGCAGGCCACGGTGGAAGTTTACTCTTGACAGGTGAAATCGGGGCCGGGTAATGGCTCCGCTACCAACTCACACCAAAGTGAGTGGCCTTTGTGGGGAGGAGAGCACACTCCGGTCTTCCTCTTGGGCCCAGGCCCCGTGACATGCCCTCCGTATCACACAAACAGCATGGCTTTGCGACCTGCAGGCCTGGCCCTGACTCCCAGCTTCAGTATGCGTTCACTAGGTGGTCTTCAAGGGGGGGGTCTGGCCTCACGGAGTTTTGTTTTTAAACTGCTCTGCAGGGCTATGGTAAAGACCAGTGACTACGTGTACAAGGCTCCGGGGTGGTGACGGTCACGCGGACACACAGAACAAACAATGACTACATCACGGACGTTAGAAGGTGGCAGGGCACCCAGGAAGGCTAGGGACCCGAACACCTGGGGCTGGTCAGGAGTCTCCATCGATCACGTGGCACTCGGGTGGCAGCCATCACTGCCCCAGATCCTCACAGCTCCCACAGGGCGCCTGTGCTGGAGTCCCGGCATGTCAGATTGTCAGATGCCCCATGTCAACTCACACCCACTTCTCTCCCAGATGCCAGGTTCCCAATGCGACTCCTCAGTCAGAACCGGCCTCGGCTAAGTGCCGGCGCAGCAAGTCCTGTGCTGACGACGCTGGTCTCGATGCTGGGGACCTCTTTTCCACTCCGCCACTTGTGGAAGTTCTGTCAGGACACATTGGCCTTCCACACACAGGAATGAAATGCCAGTCCATCTGCCTCTTTCATCTCCATGGCCTTAGTTTCTGCATCTGGAAAATGGAATAATAACCCTAGTGCCAAACGGATGAGATGGAAGGATTGGGGGTACTCAATGAAATTATGCAGGTGAAATTATCTGATCCATAATCATCTAGCCCGAAAACTTGTGTGGCTTAGTGGCTTGACAGCCTACTAACTAGAAAGTTCCCAAGGCCAAAACCTGGATGGTCCCAGAGAAAGAACACAAATCCTGGCATGACCAATGGCTCCACAAATGTTGACCGAGTAGGACTGAACCTTCTCTCTTTGAGGTCGGCCTTCAAAGGTGAGCTGCTACTTGTCCTGACCTCTCTGATGATGCTGAGGTGTAGCAGAGAGCAAGTCCCCCCTCTCTGAGCATGCCCCAAAAGCAAGGCCCAGAGAGACAGGCTGTGTTGGGAAAGGACCTTCCATGCAGAAGTCTTACTGCTGCCCCAAAAGTCATGCCAACCCAGGCTTCCGCCTTCCTTCTGCTCCCTGGACCCGAAGAGCCCTCCTACCCCAGCAGCTGAGTCCTATGCTGAGGCGGTCACCATGGAAGAGCCTGGACACTCAGCTCCTGCCTCTTTCCAAGCCCTGCGCGGTTAGCCCCATGGTAGGTGGGGCCACAGATGCATGAAGACTCCCCTCCTCACTGGAGCACAGCTGTTCTCAGCTTCTCCCCCACTGCCCATCAGGAAACAACTTGAAACCTAATTGAGCAGCTGTGGCTGTAAAAAAGAACCCAGTTCAGAGTGAGACGTCGGGCCCAGCGAGTGCGTGCTGAGGTCTTGTAACGGAGGAGGGACACACATGACAGGGCTGAGCCCATTCAGCAAGCCCAGAACTCTGACCATTCCCCTGTGCACCTCCCCCCTCCCCCTGCTCGTGTGCCACAGGGTCAGGACAGGCCATCCTCCCCATGGATTCCCTTTCAGAGGCCACAGGTCTGTGTTCCTGGGGTTCACGGGTCCCCTGACCCCTTGCTCTGTTCAATGTGCTCAACGGAAGCCGTATTCGAACCAGAACCCACCAACGAGTTTTCACCCCATCCACGGCCCACCTTTTGTCTGGACCACTCGTTACGGGATTTTAGGAGGCTGCAGCCTTGTTTGACCAAATAGCTCCTGCGCACGTGTTGCTTTGAATTCTAGTGCAGAATTCAGCATAACATTTCCCTTGGATTCCTCTTCCAAGCCAACAGAGTAAGGGCCATTTCCCAAAAAACAACACATTATTAAAAAATGAATACGAGCCAAGAAAACAATGCGGCCAGCATATTTAGTCCACACAGCTTGTTTAGGATGCAAATTGCAAATATATTTAATTCACATGGCTCTCTGGGGAAACTTTCAGACCTCTTTGATCCAGCAGAAGCAAGAAAGTCACCAAAGTGAGGGCAGCTCACTGGCCAAGGGCTGCCTCACACAGGACAGTGCCAGGTCCCCAGGAGCAAGAGGACTCATTCTGGAACTCTGATAAGGCCCCTCACCCAACCCACTGGCAGCCACACTCCCTCATCCCATGGTCTGCCTTGAGAGCGGCCTTCTGGCCATGGTCAACAGCATCCAAGAAGCTTTCCAGTGATCAAGGACAGGTACCCATAAGAAGAGAAAACCAAATACCACTGTGACAGCCTCCATTAACACATGACAGACCTGGCCGCTGGGTATGTGAAGGTCCAAACCAACTTGATTTATGAAGAGCAGGCAAAGTTTCCAGCAGGTCTGGCACATCTACTGCACTGGAGAAAGGCCTTAATTATACTGCCTGTGCTCATTAAGTAGATAAGATCTTAGCAGAGGCAAGCTATGTTTTGTCTCCAGGAAAAAATGTAAATCCATCTGGCTCCATATTTTACAGTAGTCATCAATATCCTAAGGCCATGTGAGATGCCCCGAATTTTCATCTTCCTGAGGTTTGGGGGTGGAACTGAAGTGTCAACAGGAGAGCTCTCATGCTGACAGAATGTTGATGGTGTTGATAAATCCGAGCATCCCTGTCTCCCTCGAGAACCCTGGAGCAGGACAGGCCCCACTCGACTGAGCTGGGTACTGAAGCATACAAACCCAGAGGAAGAACAGCCCGGCATTTACCACAGAAGTGCCTCCTATCACTCCGTTCAAATGGAAGTGCTATGAGACTATACTGAGTACGCACCACAGTGTAGGCCCAGGAAGTCCCACCTCCCCTACTGAGGACTCAGAGAAATGGTCACCTGCATGAGACATCAAGAGTGTTGTGTGGAAATCTCCCCCAATCCGAGGACTTTCCTTCCCTCTGACCTTCTTCTGGGGATTCATTCCATGTGTTTTCTATATCTCCCCAAACCTGTTTCCCCGTGCCATTATGCCCAGATCTCCCATTTTAGATACAGTTGCCAACTTGACACCCGAAACTCAACACGCTCCAAGCAAGCTTCGGAGCGATCAGTTCTTTGTCTGGCCTCATAATGATGTGAAGTTCCTTAATTCTATAGGATATTATATGTACAGCATCATGCTGCTTGCAAATAAAGAAGGTTCTGGATTATTCCAATTTGTATGGCTTAAGTTTCTTTCTCTTGGCTTTATCTTACTAGGGCTGGGCTGAACAGGAACGTAAGAGCGGACATCGTTGCCTTGTTTCTGATCTTAAAATAAAGGAGCCTATGTAATTGCTTATTTTAGATGTTTGTACTTTCCACATGGTAAAAACAACCCAAGTGTAAATGCTAACATTCATGTCAAATCTACTTTTAAGTTCTTAAACATACTGGCTCATCTATGAGATTCATTTCCCCCCACTCCCTTGAGTAGCTGTCTTGTTTTACTGTTTCTTGCTATGTCCGACAAATTTTATTGTATTCCTGACAGGATTCCTATCTTCTAGGAGTCTAAATGGTATTGTCATCATTTAAAGGGCATCATCATCTACTCTAGATAACAGCTCCATTCACAGTGTGTGCCTGCAATTCCCGTTGAGCTTAATTTTGTTCTTGTCCAAGATGATGCACTTTTGTTGTTTCCTTAATCCCAGGAGACACAGCCCTTACTCTTCAGACATGGTCTTTCTGGTCTATTTCCTGAATGTTTCAGTTCTCCTTGAGTGATTCTGACCATCTCCCAGTTCTCTGGGACCTTCGGATACTTCTATCAGACTTCCAAACCCAGAGCATCCACTGGCTTTGAGAAAGCTCATCCTGCTCAAAAAACAACCCACCCCTCAGCCAAGGACCACAAGGACCCCGCCGAAGCTCCTGCGGTTTCCTTCTCTCCAAGAGTCCAGCTCAGAGTGTCTTCATTTCTGACTCATCCGTCCAGCCAGGATTGCTGTGATGCATTCCCGTGAAATAGCAGCTTCCTGAGCAGCACGTAAGAGCAGTAAGAGACAAAGTTCTCACGGGCTGGCATCACCCCACCTCTACTGCAGCTCTTGGTGCTCAGAAATAACTTTTCATGGGCTTAGGATCCTCACACTGAGCTGGCAGTTCACAGTGGCCTTGCCAAATGACGTTTGCCTGCAGGAGCATACTAAGGGGATTTTTGTGCCTGCTGGTGCGTGAGTCCCCCATTTTCTCAGTCTGATGGTGTGGCTATGTGGCTGACGCTACTTAAGGTGTTTGAGTCTTTGCCAATCTTGTTTAAAACTGCCAATCTGGCTGAAGTATCTGATCATTGCTGTTAAAAGGAGATGAAAGATAGTGCTGGCATAAAACAGAAATGAGGATCAAAGGAATGGAATCCCAGATATAAACCCACACACCTAGGGACATCTGATTTTCAACAAAGAAGCCAAAATTATAAAATGGAAAAAAAGAAAGCATATTCAACAAACGGTGCCGGTATAACTGGATGTCAGCACGCAGAAGACTGCAAATAGATCCATATCTATCACGCTGCACAAATTCAAGTAAAAATGGATCAAAGACAAATACAGATACACTGAACCAGATAATAGAGGGTGTGGGATATAATCTCAAACTCATTGGCACAGGAGGCAAATTCCTAACAGAACACCAACAGCACAGGCAATAAGACTGACAATTAATAAATGGGACCTCATGAAACTGAAAAGTTTCTGTAAGGCTAAGGGCACAGTCAGTAGGACAAAGTGGCAGCCTGCAGAATAGGTAAAGATCGTCCACAACCCAACATCCAATAGAAGGCTGATCTCTAAAATATAGAAAGAACTCAAGAAACTAGATATCAACAAAAAAATAATCCAATTAAAAATTGGGGTGCAGATAGATCTAAACAGAGAATTCTCAACAGAAGAATCTCAAATGGCCGAGAAACACTTGAGCAGATGCTTAACACCCTTAGCCATCAGTGAAATGCAAATAAAAATTACTCTGAGATTCCATTTTACACCTGTCAGAATGGTTAAGATCAAAAACACAAGTGACAGCTCATGCTGGTGAAGATGTGGAGTAAGGGGAACCCTCCTCTGTTGCTGGTCAGAGTGCAAGGTTGTACAGCCACTTTGGAAGTCAGTGTGGCTGTTCCTCAGAAAACTGCAAATCAACCTACCACAAGGTCCAGCTGTACATTCTTGAGTATCTACACAAAGGTTGCCCAATCATTGCATAAAGGCACTTGCTCAGCCATGCTCATAGCAGCTTTATTCATAATAGCCAGAACCTAGAAACAACACAAGTGTACCTCTACTGAGGACGTGATTAAAAAAAAAAAACCTGTGGTACATTTACACAATGGGGTATTTATTATTCAACTGTTAAAAACAAGGACACCAGGAAATTTGAAAGCAAATGGATAGAACTAGAAAAAAAAATTACCCTGGGTGAGATAACCCAGACTGATAGACAAACATGATATGTACTCACTCATAAGTGGATATCAGCTGTAAAGGATAAAATGATACAATCCACAGATCCAGAGAGACTAGGTAACAAGGAGGGCTCATGGAGTTGGGGGAGGTCTAGATCTCCCTGAGAAGGGGAAATAGAAGAGATTCTGTTACTGGACTGAGGGCAGCTAGGGACAGGAACGTGAATGATCAGGTTGGAAGACACAGGGGGAAAGCGCTGAGG